AAAAACCATATCAGCATATTCACTATTAGAATACGTACGCGGCATATTGCAAAAGACAAAATTCATCTACTGTTAAAGGCTTTCAAAGAGCGACTGACAAATTCATAACAGAAAGTGGAAAATGTAATCAAATATGTCGGTGCTAGATATGGCAAGAAATGTAAACATTTTTTTTCGATTTCTCTGAAACGGAGCAAAAACGAGCATATGTCTATAGGACTTTTTTTCTTAGTTTTTTACTCCTCTACACGCTCCCGAAGTTTTGCCATTTAATTTGGAAACACCCTGTATATATACATATATATATATATTTGTATGTTACTGTCACAAAAAGCCTAAAAGTGAAGCAAAACGTTAATTAGAAAAATCAATTAATCCTGTGTAGTTAGGAGAAGATAAAAACTTATTATTATAGTTTAAATTGTTATGGATTTTGTTTAAGATCAAATTATATTTTATTTGTGAGAATTTCATATAACATAAATATTTTATCATTTCCAGTTTTGGAAATTCATTTTCAATATCAGCTATGAATGCCATCTTATCATCGGTAGCAGGAAATATAAATACAAAATACGAACTCAAAGATGTAAGTTAGGGAAAAAATAATATAATAAGTTATGAGAGAGAGAGAGAGAGAGGAATGATAATGTGGATATATATTGAAAGTAATTTAAAATAAGTTTAAAAATAATTTAAATAGGAAAAGTAATGTTAGTTTTGTCTTTTGATAAATTCGACAAATGGATTGGTGATTCATTTGTCGAATATATCCAGTTTCCATAAAAATCTTATTATTTTTTCGAGGAAAAATAAATTTGCAATATACTTATTTTTTATATTATTTTCTAGCTGACAGACTTTGTAAAAGAACATTTGGATGAATTTAGTAACGCTACAAGAACTCTGCACCAAGTAATAGAAAATGCGGAATCTAACATAAGATGGTTCGATAAGTATCATGTGAAGATTTATAATTGGTTACAGAGAAATATTATATAATCGATAGACGTATCCTTAGAATATTAAATGTCAAAGTAGACTCTACACAAAGAATGTTTATCGCCGGACCTCTCTGTATAATTATTGTTAAGTATATTTACGCAAACGACCACAATATTTGCGAGGTTACAGTACAAATTCTCGTCTTATGACGATTGATTCATATAATAGTAATGAGATACAATCGAGTGTGAAAAAAGATAAAGAAGGTCGATAGGCCAAATGAATAAAATTGTCACAATGCTTACAATTAAAACGATTTTAAGTATCAGTAAGAAAAATTGTATTTATATAAATTTATTTTTGATCGATATGATTTTGATTTAAAATAAACTTGATTTAAAATATTAATTTAAGATAAAGTACAATGAAAGAACTTGCAAGCGATATATAATTATACTGAGAATTCATAACGTCGGGCATTTTATGTACGTAATCAATATCCGCGGAATGGAATGCGGCAATTCTAACATCTAAAATAATATAGAATTCAAATTAACCAAGAAATTTTTAGCTGATGAAAAAAATAATTTCGTGACATTTTTCGTACGTTACATTCATCTATGTTAATACGAAAAAACAAAAAGCGTGAATATCAAGGAGTGTGTATTGTTCATTTGTATAAACAATTTTTATAATTGAATTTTGTCACGAGTTAAAGTTGTCAATTGCACACAGAGAAAAAGATTTGTTTGGACTCGAAAATTCTATTTATATTTGTTTCATTGAAGCAAATTTAATTTTAAATGGAACATATTTTGTTTAGTCAACAAAATTTAGTTTTAATGAAAGTAATCACATTCTTAATTTAAACATCCATTTGGTTGGACTATTCCAATGCATAAATTTGTTTGATTTAAAGAAATCTTTTCTCTGTATGGGTTGTACTTTGTAATATTAAAGAATCTTTTAATAAATAGTACATCATTGTTATTTTTATGTCATTTTATATTTATTCACTTAATTATAAAGTTTGATTAAAAATACAATTTTTTTGCATTAAATACACTAAAATATTATATAAATAACATATAACTTCACTATTCCTAGCTTTAAAAAATCAAATCATTAAATAAAAAAACATAGATTAAGAATACATTTTTTTTATTATGCGTGATAAAAATTCTAAAGAGCAATCTTTGTCTTCTGTTCAATTTAATTTCTTAGTAATAATTTAAAAGGTACGATATTAAAGCAATGACAGTCATAAGAGTGACGTTTAGTAATTTTAACCTGGTAGAACTATTTGAGTCTCCTTCAGAACTGATTATTAATTTCCTAATTTTGTCACCGTTATTTTGGAACCAGAATGAGTTAGTTTCCACAATATTAAGAGCAGAAACTAATCTCGATCTGATGATTGAAGGATACTGATCTTTATTATGCTCAATAAAGTATACCATCTAGAAAAAAAGAAGAATATATCACTATTATTTAATCTATTACTAAATGAAATTATCTAATTTATAACTGTCGTACTTTTATGTAATTAAATAATAATAATAAGTAATATAACGCTGTGTATATAGAATATTTTAATATTGTAATATATATACTGATAAGCAATTTAATTAATATAAAAAAAATCTTTAATTAAAAGTTTTTCTTTTTAGAATTAAACTCTTTCGACTTGTCACTTTCAATTCTTTAAATAAGAATTTTGAATTATATACCTGATTATATTGATCCTGATTCGATACATACGATGCCACATTAGTAAATATATCTGCAATATCATCCCACTTTCCGAAACTGTAATAAAAACGTACAAGCATAAGAATTTTCTTACTACAATTGCAATTGATAGCGCTGTTGTAATGATACTTACTATTGGTATAGTTTTTCGATATTTGTTATTAAAAAGTCAATGGTAACATTTACTCCTACTGGACCTGCGCTGTACACGGAAGTAAACACCGCTGAAACATCTTGTCGACGAATGGTGGCATTTGCAGGATTGTATTCTTCAATGGCTTTTCCTAAGTAACTATTAAACAAATTGCTCGTGAATCAAATAATTATATAATCGCTCAGGGATCAAAATAATTAGGAAGATTATTATGATTGTTATAATTCTAGCGAGTTTTACAAAAAAGACATAGATTTACTTTTATTATCATAAATATATTTACTAACAAGAGTTAAAAAATAATTTTTTAAGCTTTCAAGCTAATTTTTTAAATAAATTATTTCAAGC